AAATGAATTTCTTTGTGTTTTCAGGCTCATCAAAAATATCAAAGACCGTATATATTTCCCACATATAACAGGAGGCGACGGTTCCAGCTCATTGAAACCAAGAAGATTGTAGTTATTCAAGGCTCGGTATCTCGAAAGCAGACACTCGCGTCAATCTGAGCGGGAAGCTTGAACAACAGAAAAGCCCCTTGTGTTTTTATTCCGCCCCCTTCAGCCCGGACGGGGCCGTTAAGGAGCACTCGGGCCGGCAGAGGTTTTCTTCCGTGCATTTCTCTGCCAGGCGAAGATTTGTCCTCACGCCGAGGGAATCGGTTTGAGTCTCATACGTCTTCCTGTTCCCGAAATGACAGCTCTCCTAACCGCTGTGCTTCAGCCCACACGTTTGAACACCCGATGTCATCAAAACCACAAGCCTGCAGGCAGACTCGCACTGCACAGTAGTGTCCATCCCACACACCACGTAACACACATGACAAAGATTAACAAGCATTTAACATACTTACAATCCCTTAGGGTTCCGTTTCTTTTCTGACAAAAATGCACTGGCTTCTTTTTCTGTGCAACTGACGCAGAGATGTCGTACTGAGGGGATTTGTTGTTCTGCACAGCATCCGGCGTCGCGAATTCATTTCAACATATTGTGATAATCATGATAATCGTGTCCCTACGATGCATAGTTTGGGGTGTGTGTGTGTGTGAGTATGGTGGCCCTCGGGTGACGGTGGCTAATAAAAAAAAAAAGACCTGATCAAGTGTCTCCAGGCTTCCAGCTAGAATCTGTGGAAGAAGTTGGCTTGATTGAGTTGGGTAATTCTTGTACCATTGACGTCTTTACGATCAAAGTAGTTCAAACACACGTTTTTTTGTCATACTTTGCTCCACGCGGTGACTTTTCGAGTATTTTTTGTTGGGAATCGGTCAGCGGTGGTGGTGGTGACGGCCTCCTGGTGTGACCCTGGCTGATGTAGCCTGTCGTTTGCTTTCCTCAAATTGTAAAATTTCTGAATGTTTTCTACTCTCTCTGCATTGATCAACGTCCCCCCCGCTGAAGTCCTACACTGACACATCTCGCCTTTAGGTAGGCGGCAGAATGAAGGGTCAGCTCTTTCCTTCTAATATCTGACCGGTGCTTTGTGAATTTTTCCATTCGCTGAAGAAGTGTAATCGTTTCTTCTCAATGTCCCTGCGGCTCTCTTTATTTTAAGCAAGGCCTTATTGAAAAAAACAACACCTTTCTAATGCGAGCATGAGGTTTCAAGCAGCCCGGAATTCCACCTCGGATTCATTTGGCATCAATGGCTGTTTAGCAAGAAGAGATCATATCAAACCCCTTTGAATGTATAGATGCCAATTATTATCATTATTGATGCATTGACTTGACTTGTGAGACACACTGTGGAACTATTGACTCCAAATGCTGTAGTTTTGTCGCATTAAATATGACATTTTTAATTCTGCAGCTCGGTGTTCATTAGTTTAGTTCATTACAATCAGGCCACCAGTAGAAAGTAGAAGCATCTTGTGGTCACCGTTCAGTACTGCGGGTAATTGGAGGACTGAGAGGAATATAGGAAGATAGCAGGCATCCCGATATCTGTGGATTATAAGAAATCCTTCTTATAATACCAGCGCCTTTGGAGGAGGAAGCTGACAGAGACTGGAAGAAATTGATTTTTCACTGTAAAATGATCCCTTCCCCTGGTGAAGCGATGCATATTGCCGCGAGTGGGGGGGGGGGCAGGCTCGGTTAATACGGGGACCAAAGTGCATCTAAGAAGTCATTTAATGGTGTATAAACATCACTGAATTGAGTCAGAAAAAAAGCATTTTTGTCTATTTGCATTTCTCACGCAGTCCGCACAGTGTGTCCTTGGAATGAAGTGTTCATTTTCATCAGCTCAGCTTAGCGTTTCAGCACGTTTCAGCTCATTGTTTCTGTTTTCAGGGCCGTAACTGTAATTGTCATTTTCAGCCAAAGCAGGCAGTGAATCAAACCCGAAATCGTTAAAAAAACAAAAAAACACTGTCCTCTATTTGCTCAGCATTAAATAGCAAACAAATCAAGTGCGCCACTCTGACCACGGACGTCTAGACACAATGTTGGATCTCCATGACTGTTTATTCCCGTACTTGTTTGAGGAAGAACTGGTGGTTTCCTCACTTGTTATTTGCAGACAACGTCTTCCTGCAGGTGTAAGCGAAAGAGGTGGTTAGTCTGGTGAAATGTGCCGGCCTTTGCCTCTCTAATCATGTTATTGACTCCACACCTATATGCTCAGGCCCGTCATGTCAGGACCACTCTAACCACAGGTTACCCAGAGCGGGGAAGGTCCCTCTCCTTGCTTCCTGGCCTCTTGATCCTCCTTCTGCCCGCCCAGGAGAAACAAACTACAGGGCCTTCACACAGGTATTATCTGAATCATCAGCTGGTTGACGGGCAAGAACAGGAAGTCGGCTTGGGTCTCCTCGCCACATTCAATATTAGCTTTTGATCAGCGTGCAGAATATTCCAACACACATCTTGTGCGGCTGGTTGTTGTCAAATGACAGGCTGAGATGTAAAGGAAGCGTTGCCCTTGGGTTTGTGTCTCGCGCACACAGATAATCATCAGAAGTCATTCCCTTCCCCTCATGATTATTTTTCTATGATTAAACAAAGGGTTATTTTGCCACTTGGAGGCGCATGATAGAAAAATAGTGTCCACCTCTATCAGATGGCTGATAACTTGACCTAGAAAGCAGCGGACCACACACACACACACACACACACACACACACACACATGATTGTCAACATGATTATGCTGTGTTGATGGTGTAAACAAATGCTAACCGAGAGCCCCGGCGCCATAAGCCTCGATGAATGTGCCTCTCAACAAACCACCGTGTTGCTCTCTTCTAAAATAGTGTTTTGTGAGAGGACACTGGCCGGGTCTCGTCCATTTAACTAACCAGCTAACGTGTTTATTCACATATTTCTCAGTTTCATAGATTTCCTACAAACGGTGTATTTGCACTTTAAGGGACAGAATAGCAGAATCAAACACTTTAATTCACATTGACATTTGTTGGATATTTGTGTATAAGAAATCTATGGTTTAAAGACTTGACAAAATCCTAATAATGGCTGCGACAGGCCAATAAATGCATATGTCTAACCTCTTCAAACAGCCTGGGAAGGCATTGGCCGACACAAATCATCATGCGTCATTTGCAACTACAACCTATTTTGCTTTGCAGTTGGACTGGTTGGTGTATGCATCGAAGCTGCGTACAAATGTTGCACAAGAGTTTGCATTGCGATTCCATGTTTCTGCTGCAAACCCCGTTATGAGATCCCAGGGGCTTTCAAAATACGTTTCACCCTGTGCCTATTAGATCATTCAGGTGGTGTCAAGGAAGAAACACGCATGATGACTGATGATTTGCAACGACGGGGAGATCCTTCCGTCCGATTTGAATGCTGCGATGCGTGGAACGAAGCGGCGTTCAGCCAGTTGTGCTGCTTTCTGCATGCTTGAGAGCGCGCTACCCGTACGGACATGTTTGTTTACACTTTCCGCCACCCTTCGAGGAAAGGAGTGCCCGTATATTGGTGTTTTGCGGGCGTGCACTAATGCGGGCGCACCCAGACAACAACCTGAGTATCTTCGGGATCGCGAGTTCAGGGAAACAAAGAGGCTTCAACGGACGCGTTTGAAAAGCTATTTATTTTGAAATGGTAAAATGTAAAATGTAGGCATTAAAGATTTAACAACATGAATGCCTCATGTCATTCAAACGCTAAACACAAGAATAAATGTGCTAAATTTGGCTCCTCTGGAGTAGGAGTAGACTTGTTGTTCTCGGGTTATTTCAAAGCTCAAAGGTTTGCCTTCAAAATGTACCACGGAAAAATGGATTTTCTTGCCTTTCTTTCATACAGCACTACTTATATATATATATATATATATTTACATGTGCATTCACTAGGAAGACTACATTTACTACTTTCATAAGTTGCTATTGGAAAATCTGTTTTAGCTTACATCGATTACAACCCCCCCCCCTCCTTGATTGAATAACATGCCCATGATTGAGGGGCGCAGTGCAGCACATGAAGTATCAATGGAGCCATTCCTCTCTCTTTCCTGCAGGCTTCAGCTGCTCGACGATGCCGTCGGACAGACTCGTTGGACTGTTAGTGGCCAGTCAGCAAGTCATTAATTACGCGGCCGACTGGGCCGACACTCGCTGATTGGAATGAGAAACCCCGGTAAAGTAGACGGCTACACATTTCCCTCGTAGCGCCGGCATCCGTTACTCCGCTGGATACAATGACAAGAATTCAGTGATCAGAAGATGCAGGAAGATGGAGTAAGGTGTTCTTCTTCACCCGTACAATAGCATACGTCGTGTGTAGATTGATATCGGGTAACATGTGAACTTACTGTCAACATATTAATTAAGTTCACTGGGGATGAATGAATCAATACATTTGTTTGGCAGCACTCACTGTGGCTCACGATATCCGGCGTTGAATTTAACAGTAAAAGATACTCAATGAGATTAACAGATGTTAACTTTTCTAACTATGTGATTAGAACACCGGCTCGCTGTGGTTGTATGCTGGTGATTTATGGACTGTGGGATATTTTGTGAACTGATAATCAAAGCTCAACGGCGATCTGTTGGGAATTAAGTGGCGGCAGGAAGTGAGGAAGTGCAGCGCTGAGCGGAGTGCAAGAAAACTCAGGCCGCCGCCGATAATTGTGTTGGCTTGGTCATGGAGAGTAGAGAAAACGGTTGATTTAAATCAAAAACAATATCCAAGAATTCACACGGTTTACTGCACAAAGTTAGATGGATGCCAACGGTTTTGATCATTTGAAAAAAACAACTGAACCTGAAATTTGGTCTTTCTGTGGTTCAATATCATCTTGACTCCGTTCTTAAATTCTTTTAAATTAAGTATCTATTTTCATCCTTCACTAAAATATATGTATATATATATTTTTTTTGATATTTGAGGGTTACGAATTTTCAGGCGCAGCTTTTATATTTTCAGATTCACTTCCGTATTTTTTCTCCCTTTTGGCCCCGATCCGCCGTAGGGGGCGGGGCATCAAGTGATAGCGGCGTGTAATCACGAGGGACACCTTAACAAAGGCTGAAAATCTTCCTCAACCGGTTTGCCTTCAGCAAACGTAGGCACCGCTTTACTTCCTTTTACTAAGAAAATCGCCCACGATTATTCAGAATAAAAAAAATATATATATATGTTATAATCTCTAGACTTTAGAATTTGTATTTTACCCCCTTTTATTTTTTCACCCTGTATCTAATCCCTTTGCCTTGCTCCTCTGGCCTCCCCGAGCTCATCCCGACTTGTCACATCCTTTTTGGGGTCACTTCACATGGAGGCCGGCAGCAGGAGACCTCCCCAGGTTCTAAAAACAGATGTGACAGGCCTATTAAAGTGAGTGATCTCCACCGGCCTGCTCTGCTCTGCCGCTGGAGCCACAACGGGTACTAAGCTGTCTTCCCCGGGGCTCCGCGGACGGGAGCAGCGGGCCGCAAAAGGCCCCTAAGATAAGGTGACAGCGGCACATAGCTGGCATTGTGGCAGCTCCCAGAATTATCTCCTGATGAGGTTTTCAATTTTAGGGAGGGCAGTTGAATCCCAAGCTCCTGAAGCCTGAAGGCTGTCTGAGATAAACACGGTGCACATGAGAAAATGAGAAGCGTGGAGGAGCACAACAATGTCTGAAACATATTCGTTTTTAGATCATAACCCATTTAAGTACTCGAATTAACCGCAATGTAAATCCATCGGTAGGAAACATTAAGCTCGGGGCGAACACACGACCACCAAACGGCGCACAAAGATTTATTTTGTACCGTTTTGCATCTGCAGCAGCGTTGCGGTGTCATCTTCTTTCCTCCTCCGCCAGATGAAACAAGTCACAGCAGTAACTCCCTCCAGGCCGCGGCATCAAGGTTAATCCTGTGTGCAAGGAAATAATAATACTAGCGTGGTGGGAAGGTCGATAAGTTGGATATTAATGTGAATCTCTTATTCCAACGTTAGGTCAGACACTCTACGTCTTTGTACGAAAGATTGCTCTAAGTCAGGTATTCAATACTAATTAGCTTCATGCACAATTAAACAAGTGCTGGTTTATCGAAGGTGCCAAACGGCGGCGGGCAGTGAACGTAAAATACTGTACAAATACGGCTAAAGTGCCCACACAGCTCTTTTGGACTTGACATGTAGTATATCAGTGTTCCATAAAAAAAAGTAGGGACAAAAACGGAAATCAACACTGAGGGAAAAAAGTAAAATGTCAAAAACAGCAATTTATATTCCTTTGAAGAGCGACACCAGGGGCTTCCATCCAACCTCTGCCAAATCTCTCATAAAAACAAATCAAAGTGCTTCTAACATTCCTCTTCAGCACCTTGGTCCATGTTTGAATTGTAAATGTCTTGGCACGAGGTGAAGAGGGAGCTGCTGTTCCAGAATCATCCATTCTGTTGGAAGGGCTGCCAGAACGCGTGAGAGGGTCTTCCTCGGAGGGCCGAGGCTCCGAGCCGCTGTCTGCTGCCATCCACCTTCATCAGCGTCTCGCTCGCCGAAAAGACGCAACACAAACACCGTTAACAGGAAATCAGAGGGACTGGCCGTATGCGGCTTCTCTTCAGGCCGCTTTGGAGGACACTCAAACACCTGCATCTTACTTTTTTCACAATAAAACGCTCGCATGAGCAACCATACCAAAAAAATCATCCTCATTTACCTCGACGAGACGTGTTTTACGTGTAGACGACCCGTGCGGTTTCTCTGCAAAAGGAAAAACGGGACGACGGAGGACGACGGAGGACGAGTGCGCCGGAGACGAGGGCTTGTCTCGGTGGGGCGGTGGAGGGAGCGACACAGGTGATGGAAGCTAAACTAGCATGAAACTGCCTTCCGTCACGGATTACCGAGGCCGCGCCTTTCATTACAAGATATTTAGGGCAACAGGAGGTGTTTGGAAGGCACGAGATCCATGCAAACCATTTGCCCTGAGATCCCATGTGTGTGTGTGTGTGTGTGTGTGTGTGTGTGTGTGTGTGTGTGTGTGTGTGTGTGTGTGGGTGTGTGTGGGAGTGTAAATGGTGCAGAAAGAAAATGAATTGTGTTGGGATGTGGCGGCTGAGATATGCTATATTGTCTATTTCACAGTCGCATGAGTTTGCTGACTGGATTGTTCGAGGGTGTTTTTGACGAGGGCGCGTCTACGCTGAAGAATGCAGATAGGATCATTTCACGGCGTAGCGTGTGGCTGCTTTTAAACCCCTTTGTGACCTGCGGATGATCTCGATCATCTAAACCGACGAGTGTGCTGTACGTGCACGTTATCGCTCATCTGTGAGGGTTCTTAGTCACACAGGACGTTGCGTCTATTTAATGTAACTCGACTGATTTTTTCAGATTTCATCTAGATTCATGATTCAATACAAGTAGTCCACATTTTTGGACTTAACAAGAGAACTGTTTTGTAAATTGATGACATAGTAATTAACATGATACGTAGGAATTTGTAAGGATATCAATAGGAGATTTGATACAGTTCATTTCAGATGAGATTAGGAAATCACGGCTCACAACTTCCCCAGGAAAGAATGTCTTCCTCTCTATCCTTACTCTGTAGCATGTGGCGGCCTTATGCATACACACCGTTTTAAATTGTGACTCATAGTGCTGAGGGAATATTTGGAAGAGCCCTAAGACATGGAAATGAGTTTTGAGACAGTCACCTTTGTTAGAATGCCTGCAATAAAGAGAGCTTTATTATCTATTTCTTGAAGCATCATTTTTACCCTCCTATTAAACATTGAAGTGGAAAAGGTCCAACCTTATTCCCTCCTTTCATATATCCTGTCTGATTGTGAACAATGGCTGCGACCCGTGGGGAGGAACAGCAACGTGCCACCAATATGAAAAACAACCATGTCCTCCGTTCCTCCCTCACCCTTTTTGCTTTTAATGTCACCAGTCTATGTACGTGGGCGCGAGGCGTGTTGGCCGCGTGTGTGCATGAGCTTCCAATCAGTGGAGGATGCGGACGGCCCGCCGCACCGGGCTGCTTGCAGGCAGCCATCTGTCAGCTGACGCTCAAGCGCCGCGGCAATCAGAACGCGCTGCAGCGGGTCCAATCTGTTCCACCACAGGTAGGGCTGTGGGAGGGTCGCCGCCGCTCGACACACTCTCTATCTTTTGATTTTCTTCCCTCCAATCCCTCCTTCTGTGACATCATCGTTTCCTCTTTAGTCGGCGTTGATTTGCTCTTTGGGCCCAGACACGGTTACATGAAACCTTCACTATACTGACCTCCATCATTGATGCCTAAAATAACAAATATCAGTGGGTGTACCAGGGTATTTAGAGGGGAAATCAAAAGGGCTTGTTCTCACGTGCTGAGCCACCTGCACTGCTTCTCTTCCTGGCGGGGGCATCACGCACCGTGTGCCCTAATGACGGCGGCATGCTAAGTGCGGTGCATCAGTGGTCACTGCAGCCTGCTAAATGACCCCCCCCCGTGTGCTTCAGCCATGGCGGCCAGGACTCTCCTTCTCCGGGCCTCTCTGTTGGCCAAAGGCCCAACTGTAAATCTGATCAGAGCCGTGCTAATGGCAGAAGGCGGCCATCCCGGCCCGAGCGCCGGTCGTGGCCAAGAAGCCTGAGGCGGTGGAGGTAACGTCCTGAGCTCAGATCCAATGAATTATTGAACCGGTCCCAGAACAGAGCTTCAGGAGACCCATTTAGATTTGTTAAGCCGCTGAAACAGATGTGAAAATGAGTTTTCTGTCACAATCCCAGCAGCCCCAGTTTAAGGTATAAGATATATTTTGTGACGTTTTTGATTGCTTGGCTAGTTTGATTCTGGAGGAGCTTCACCGACTTAACACCTAGTAATAGTTGTTGCTCACTATTTTTCTTTTTTATGCTTGGGTTTAATTGTGTTCCTGTAGCTCTGTGGTGTCTGTTTCTCAAGGGTCTGAAGCTGTAATCTTTCATTGTTCCAGTCATTTTAGGTGCTGATGTCTCCGTTAACTTCAGCCAGCTTCTCTTCATCCCATTGAACAAAATACTGACGACAAGATCCAGTTTTCAATCTATAGTATCACAATAAATACTTTCCAGTAACATAAAGTTGCAAAACAAATTTAGTTTGTTAGTGTCTAATATTCTACTTTAGTTAAGGAACAACTTAACTTCACGCATCCACCTCGAGGGGTAGACTCACATTCAACGTCTCCCTCGCAGCTCAGAATGTTTTGGGCTTTATTTCTCTCTGAAACAATCAGTTACACATGAGCAGACCTACTGTCTGCTCACATTGTTTGTGCATGCATCACCCACGTTGGTCCACCCACTCATCCACTCTATCTGCACATCTACAAGAAACCTTCACTCTAAAACTCCAAGCAGGGCTTCGTCACCACAAGAACGCTTTCATAATTCTTCATGAGATAGATAACATCTCGGTAGAAGCTGCGCAAACAAATCCAGATCGAGCTTAGCAGGAGGGACATTCATCTACCAGCCCTTGACAGTCACTGCAGGTGCAGCGACGGCTATCCGGAGTCACCGTTAATGTTTGTATGTCAGTAGAAAAGTTTTGAGTGCTGGTTTTATGTTCATGGCGTTGTACTTCTAGAGAAGGAACTGTTGTGTTGCCACACCCACAGCCTTGGCGCGTCCATCACCACCAATCTGTGTGTCATCTGTGCCAAAATCAACCCACTTGCAATTAAAAGATGAAGTTACAAATCCTTGTTGTTGGACTACATTTTTAAACTTGCTCTGCCAGTTCTCTCCCCTCCGTTGGCACGGCGCTGAAACAAAGTGAGCAGAAGGGACTGGCAGAGTAAGAACAACTAAATCCGATAGCGGCCCCCTTTGTCAGGGTTGAGTAGGAAGGCAGGACTCAAATGCAGAGTTTTAAACTCCAACACAAAAATGGCCAAGTGGCAAAAACACACGCAGGAACAGGGGGGGCAAAAAGGCAGACAGGAACAGGGGGGGCAAAAAGGCAGACAGGAACAGGAGGGCAAAAAGGCAGACAGGAACGAGGCACATCCAGGACGATAGACAATGACGCGACAAGCGACAGGAGACACACACAGCTTAAATACACTAGGGAGGTGCAGGTGATTGGAGGTGGAAACAATCAGACAATCACAGGGGATGACAGGACAAGGCAGGAAGTGAAGTTACCCAGGGAGACAAGAAGCAGAAAACTACAAAATAAGACCGGATATAAAACCACACCGTGACACCCTTTGAGTGTAGTTTGATGAAATAATAATAATTCGACAATATGTGGATTCAGTAAAATGACGTGCATTCATTGTATACATGTGTTGCTCATGTGTCGTGTTTAGAAAAGCTTCAAGCTTCTACTTCAATATGAGGGCCGCGTTTATCCGACAAAAAATGCATTATTAACTTGTTATTAACACTGCTGGCCGCAGTCATAACACGCCATGTTCTTTTTCGTTGCTGTGTTTCTTTTGGCCGCGTTCACCGACTTTTTCAGCGCTCGCGGGACAATAACACAAATGCACATGGTGACGAGAGCCACGCCTGGGCTCCCGTTGGAGTTTTCGAGCATCTGTTCAGGGTAAGTTCAGCCAATACGGCGGGGTTGTGAAGTTTATATGCTCGACGCTCCAAGCCAAACCGCCGCCATTCAAAACCCGGCCACAATGCACGGGTTGGGTTGTGAACGCTGGAACTCTTCTCCGAAAGCTTGTTAGGATTCGCCGCTTCCTCGCTCTCTTTTCTCCGAGCTGGTGGTTGACGGCTGCACCTCAACACCTTTCTGAGCATAGCAGTCCAGATGAAGTTTGATCCGAGGGGAAAACGCTTCCTTACACCACAGAAGGAAAACAAATCGCAGGGCAGGAAGTCAAACAAGGGAACTGTACCAAACTGACACGATGGGATAAACACCCGGGGAAGGCCTCGCCTTTGCCCCCCCCCTGGGTAATCATCCAGTATTGCAGCTGATTGGAAAAGTAAACCTAGTCGGTCCAGGGTGACTGAAGCAGCAAGCGCTGGCTTTTAAACCTCAAAACACGTTATTTTGTAACTAAACAACAATAATTCCAAAGGTCTAATAGTGATGAAGAAAACCGGGATTCTATTAGTCTGAGTGGATCATTCTGAAATAATATTCTTTATTATGTTAATCTATAGAAATTCAGTATTGGCTACAGTGTTAAAGCCTGTGGTGTTTAAGAGAGAAATTAAATATAGCAAAGGAAAAAATTTGCAAGGAAAGCAGTTGAGAGGTTTGAGTAGTTAACATAGTTAGACATCTGCTCGGAAATCGCTTTGCCGGTTGTTTTTGGGCACAATCCTGGGACCCCGGCGTGAAGCGTAGACGCGCTGAAGGCATCACGTCTTCTCCGTCTGAGAAGGTTTTGAGTCTCAGGTGTAATTAGACCACACATTCACTGTTGGTCTCTTATAAAGAGGTTTGTTGTGACAACCAGGATGACTAACTACTCAAATGAAGCCAACATAAAGGTTATTGAACGGGATCAGAACACTATTATCAAGTAAGCAGAATATATGACGTGTTGACGTATTTATTGACGTAATTACTCTAATCAATGTCAATGTCCTCCGATTACTTCATTCTTCTGACGTGTCTCCAAACACAGACAAGCTGTATCTTCAGTGAGTAATCGTAAATTATATAATGCATCATAAATATAAGCCTGACGTCTCCTCGCCGTGGAAAACGCCTCTGGCAGATTTCCAGCTGCTGGGTTTCAAGTCTTTGCAGTACGTCTGACGGTGGAAAAAAGCATGAATAATGGAAGACAGGTTGGTGGTTACTCAGAGCTATGACTGTTACGCGCATGCATATTTGTGGAGGCAGGTTTGTACGTGTCCTCCTCTTCTCAGTTTCGTTGATTTATTAAATGCCGGCCTGTTTACTGCTTGCTCACCTGTTGAGAGGAGGACGGGGGGGGGGGGCTGAGGTTAAACTGTCCATAACGCTGCAATTAAATAGAGTTACGAATGCAGCTGGAGAGACAGGAGCTGGCGTGCAGC